AGGAGAAACAAATTAATTTAAATTACAATTAATTTAACTATCCTAATATAAATATTTATCGAGTGGAAGTTCAAATTATTAATTTTAAATAACCTTAATAATAATTTTTTCATAATTATTCAAGTAATTCACGAAAAAATGTATTTAATCCTATGTAAAATTATTTGGCCCCTTTACTTCTTGCCCACCTAAAAATATTTGGGTTCTATACCTCTTAAGCTTGCCGTCTGCTCAAGTAAGATTGTTTGTTAACTTTGAAAAAATATTTGTATCCTTTTTGATTTTAATATCAAATTCAATTCTGGAGTTCGTTAAATGTCGTGCAAATATTATTATTTGGTTATAAAGTTTCAATGAAGATGTGGTTGGTTGTAGATTTGTTGTAGATCTTATTGGTTTTGAATAATTTTTAAAGTGTTTTGTTGCTCTAAGATATGCTAGTACATTTTAAAAAGAGCATTTGGGACCCAGAGTTGGAACCAATGTGGAAGATTATTATATCCAATCCGTTTTTGGTTATATTATGGGCAAGTAATTATGAAATGTTCTATAGTGTGTTTTACGTTACAAAGTTCATATTTTGGTTCTGGATGTACATTTGAAAATATTTTCCACTTCTTGTAGTTATTTTTGGATTTTCATAGCAATCTGGTTGGTTGGAAATATTTTCTTTAAAGTTTGTAATGAGCTAAGTTAATCAGTTAATATTGCACCTTTATGTAGGTTTCAACTAATTGCCTGATACATTGGGTGACAAAATGAAAAACATTGCTATTGAGTTCAACTGAGCGAATATATTTCATATTCATTCTAGGTAATGAGAACATTGCAAAAAATCATAGTTTATATTTTGAATGTATCTTTAATTGAACATAAACACATTATCTATCATTAATATTTATAGCAATTAGTTATTTATAATCAGATTCGAATAAAATATTAATGGAGAAAAGATGTAGATATTATTTTTTTCATCGGCGGCCTATTTTTCCATTTCCTGTTCGTAATTCATGGTCTTTCAATAAACTCGGAAATTATATACAATAAATAATAAAATATTGCCATCAAACGCCATGCGGTCTCAATCTATAGGTTTACTTATACGTATCGACGATTAGTGCTCATTTTTTGTAGTTCTGTATTTAATTTCAAATAAAACAACTTCCACTTTTCGGAACTTTGGTAGCAGTGATTATAAATTGACACATTTTTTACAACAACACTTATTTATTAGTAAAAAAACTCATTCGGGGAACTTTTGTGTAAAAAAGATTTTTAGAAACTTTAGAACGTTACATTTCAGTCCAAAATTTCAATATCAGGCGTCTATCTTTGCTATTTTCCTTTTCAAATAATGCAATGCCTGTTGTGTAAGTAGTCAAAGGAGTAACGGTCTCTTGACGTTTCTGTGAAACGGTCTTTACGTTTCTTTTTTTCCTTTGTTTTTATTTTTAATTTGATAATATTTGAGAATTAGATTATACTTTATTTAAAACTTTCAAACAGTCTTTCACTAGTCATGATTTGGTTATAGATTAGCCTCACATTGATGTTTTAATATATCTCTTACACAGTGTTGCATAATTATATCCTTATGACCTCAACCTGAAATACTTTTGACTAGTTTCATAGACTAAATGGTTTTTAAAGAGGACTGTCTACAAGAATTTATAAAAGACTTTAGATATTACAAGGTATGTAAGAAAATTGTTGCCAATCGGGGGACACAGTCAAAATTTATAATTTTATTACACACGGTGGATAAAATGTTCGCTTCAACGTCACGAAGAGATGATAATGGTTTGCGAGCTTCTTATCTCTCTTATCTCTTATAGCAAAATCAGAAAAACATCATACTATCGGCGAAAAGTTAATATTGACAAGCGTTGAAAAAGTTTTACACAAATCTACACCTTCCTTTCTGTTGGCCTTTGGTAATCTTCGAGCTGTTTTTCCTCCTTTTGGTACAGAAATGTCACGATATCGACGAAGATATTTCTTTATTTTCCTTTTTATAATTGATTCAGAGATTGACTAACAACTGTACAACTATGGCCTTGAATTTGTCGTTGGAATTATCAGAAGTTCTTGTCTGACGAATTATGGAAGTTACTGACACACAGGTTCCGATTCTGGTCTCCTTCTTGATGGTAATTGGGTGGTCATTAAAGTTTAAAAGACGTACTGAAATATCTTTAGCAGTTGTGACCAACTCCTTCCCAATCAGAATTGCTCGTCCAACCTCTTCATCTTGGTTCCAAGATTTCGTCATGACAGGTGTTCCTTCTTCCATAGTTTCTTAAAGCCGTGCTACTATAATGGTTTCACTTCTACCAGGTACCACCATATCTTCCTGTACAGCTACTGACATGGTAATGTCCCCATATGGATGTAGAAATAACTCTTCGGCACCAACTTTGATCACTCTGTTCTTAAAATCCAACTGGAAGCCATGTAATTTCATTACATCCATTCCTAGTATAACATCTTTCACCTGTGGCAGTCCGCAGTCGTAACCTTGATGGTAAAATTCTCTTGAGGTTATTTATGATTGTTAATCATTTACTGGTACTGATTGCTCCAGTATCCACCAACAGTGTATACTCTTTACCATTTACTTCGCCGTCTACGTATACACTATCATCGCGATATTTAAAAGCAGCTATCAGTATAAGAGGGTCTTTGGGAAGGTTTTTGGTCGAAGATGCCTCCTGCGACGTGTTGTCTTCATTTGTTGTGACCCTAGGGCGTTTAAACGAACTGCGTATATGTCCCAATTCAACGCAATTTCAGCACCTGATGGTCTTCGTCTTCATCTTTTTATTAGTAAGGCTCTTCATCATGTTAACCAATTGGTCGAGTTTATTTTCCTCTTTTACAGTCCTCACTTGACTGTATCCACCAGAAGCATGCGTAGCAGCTTCATACTCTAAAGCAGTGCACAAGACATTGACCAATGGGCTAAGCGGAGTGTTTTCTGCATCAACAAATGTTCCATCATGTTTTCTGGAGCTGATGGGTAGGTAAATCTCACCAATCTGGCAATATCTACTTCATATTCTTGAAGGGTCTCGTCTCGTTTCTGTCGGCAATTCTATAACTGTGACTAATATAAATGCTGTGGCTATATTGCATATTTAGTATGTTTTTAAGTTGTTCGATGTCATCGGTCTCTTCCACAGGTATAGTCTAGACTCTAGAGTATATCTAAAGCATCTCCTTGAAGGGCCAAGGTCTCTCATTCAGATCATTTGTTTGCTCTGGCAGCTATTTCGAACTCTTTAAGGAAGTTGGCCCATGACATCTTCCAGTCGAAAGTTAGGGCTATGACACAAGCAGAGTTTACAGCTTTGGCACTTTATTTCACAGCCCTTGGCCTATTTTGTATATTCCAGTTCTTCTAGAAATAAAGATTTTCCATCCGTTTTATTTTCTCATCTACAGAAGGCATCTTGTTCTCTAAGAGTCTACTTTACGATAAAATGAAAGATATTATAATACGATAACGACAAAAATGTTGAGCGCTACCAATTTTTTGAGTAACTTGAAAAATTTATCTGATTTGATATGTCCTGTTTAATTGAGTCAGTCTCTGGTACTTAAAGTTATCTGTATGAGTTCAGGCAAATAAAAGAAAGTGAGAAAATGTAATACATTTAATAAAAAAAAGAAAAAAGAATAAATTTGTATATATAATAAATTAAAAGTTAATGATTAAATGTGAATAAATGAATGAATAAAATTTACTGATAGATAAAATGTTTATTAATTGTCCTGACCATGTGGCCCTCTAGTACGGTACTTCCCTTTTGTATGTCGTGGACAATCCGCCTTTAGGTACTTACGAGTAGATACTTGGAGCTCGGAACTCGGAGAAACGACGTAACTCTGAGCTTCTTGGAGAAACTACGTAACTCGAACTTGGAGCTTAAAGCTTCTAGGAGCAACTACGTAACTCGGGATTTCTTGGAGTTTCTTAGAGCCACTACAGATTTAGAAATAAAAAGAACCTCAGTAAAAGTAAAAGTACATATACATGCCAATTTGGAAATCTAACGAACTTATGCATAAACTGGACAAATATTAAAGTTACATCATCTGAACAGAATATAAAATATTTATATGGTCAAAATAAGTTAAGAGCCACAGATTTCCGTTTAAACTGTATTTCCAGACTGACTTGTAATTCTATTATTTAGTTGCCTACCCGCGTATATATCAAAGTATCAAAGAAAGCTTAAAAATATTATTAGGTAGGGTAGCTATAATCTATATAAAATAAAATAAAACAGTAATAATATCCGGCATGATGGTAATAAAAAAAGCAAATGGCCGATCCTTTCAGTTTTCCAACAAAATCCAGTAAAATGTTAAAATATAAGGTGAAAGAAACATTACCTGACAATTATCCCAACGTTAACACACAATAAACACATAAAAGACAAGATAATTATGGAAAACTACTCATAGTAGGCAAAAACTACCACGTTGAACTCGATACACCAAAAGACCAGTTGAATCCACACGACTCCGTTTTATGACGGCGTGGTTGCCCAAAGAAACCCTAGGTTCGTGCGTAAACCGTACTTACTCTCGAGAAGGAAGCAAGCGGTTGTCGTTTAACTTGTGTTACGAGGGGTTATGGAGAAGTTGTTAAAAATAAATTTGAAATAAATTGTTTTTTATTGTTATATTTTTATTGTTTTTATTGTTTCTTGTCGTTTTTTATTATTTCTTATTGTTCTTTCAATGGTTTTTTATTGTTTCTTATTGATTTTTATTGTTTTTTTATTGTTTTTTATTGTTATTTTTACTGTTTATATTGTTTTCTATTGTTTTTTTATTGTTTTTTTATTGTTTTTTTATTGTTTTTTTTTTTCTTTAACTCCTACAGTGAAAACACATTATTGGCTAAACAAATGATATAATAAAACTATTTCTTATATTTCTTAAAAAAGGTCGACAGAATCAATCATATAATATTTTTTCTATTGTTCCAGATCTCGGATTGGAGGTTCCCCTATAAGAAGTCGAATCACCCAGTTTGCGTTCACCACGGCCGTACGAAGATGTTCGTCAATCTCAGATACTGCGAGGAAGGTGTGAAAGAAGGTACCGACTACTACGAATATTTAGATGCAACCGAATGTAAATGTCAGGTTTGTTCGTCTACCGACACTAGTTGTGAAGGATTGAGGTACCGGCCACAAAGATCTCATCCTTATAATTTGGGATTTGTTTAATGAAAATTCAAAATGTTTAGAAAATGTTTTTTCTTTTTTTTATTTCCTAAATTTTTATTTGTGGTTTTTTTACTATTTAAAAATAAACTTCGAAACTTGTCTAATCTCTTCCATTCTCCACCAACATAGTTGGCTTTTCTTTATGAATTATTTTACTTTTTCTCTAAGTAGTCTCTTTTCATTTTTGTTCTCTAGGTGATACCTTCAACCCGCGGCAGAAAGAGAGTAACGAACTACAGATGTATTTGTGTATATTGAATTTAAATCTCTTTAAATTTCTTTTTTCTATATACAGGGTGGACCAGTTATATCCCCGCGGAGATATCGAAAAGAAACAAAAAAGATTTATTTTGTTCGTAAATTCCCATAACTAGAAAATAATTACATTTGTACAGAGTGCTCAACGTTTTAGTAGCATGAAATTTTTAATTGGAACACCCTCTATATTTATACATGTTTGCTACTTTAGTGGTCTTCACGCCATTGCAATGTTTTTGTAAATATGATGCTGCGTTGCCATGTTATTTAAATTTTTTCTAACTTTTCTGAAAAATCAGTATATTCCAAAACTATTCAAAAACGGATTTATTCTAAGAATTTGAAAAAGAAAATTTGACTGAAGTTAGTTGAGACTCGAACTTACCTCGTCAATATTTCATAATTATTACAATATGTTTATAACATAAAATTATATTTTTGGAAATTTAAATATAAAAAACTTCGGTTTTTTTTAAGAAACGCTCTGTATATTATACTAAATCGTTTAGAAATTCTTGAACGAAAAGTTCATTTAGTAGAAATAAAAACTAATTTACAAATTTTACAAAAAAAATGCATTGGAGAAAAGGCCATTGAAATGGCGATCTAAAAATATAAAAATATACAGAGTGTTTAAAATAAAAATGCCATCATCATTTTTGCTACTTGAACGTTGAACACTCTGTATAAATAAAACTATTTTCCAGTTATGGGGAATTTCAAACAAAATAAATCGGTTTTTGTTTCATTTCGATATCACAATTAGTTTCAACGTTACACTCCGCGAGGAGATAATTGGCTCACCCTGTATATGAATTTATTGCTCGTGAGGAAATATAGTTTTAATACTCTTTCTAAATTATCATTTAATTCCAGTTTTTTGCATTCCTTTGTCACTTTTGTACTATATACTGAAAGTTTTTTAACTTATTCTATTTTTATTATTTCATTCTATTCTTCAATTCTTCAAGTTTTACCTAGTACCATTATCGTCATTCCGAGTACTCTATTCCAGATATTTTCCAGTTATACCTATCGTAAACATGTTATTATTTGAAGGCTGACCTTCTCACCTCTGAGTAAATTTACAGTGAACTATAACCTAATCAGGAAGTAAATACTTTTAACTGTAAGTTAAAGTGAAAAGACTAGCCCCAAGTACTCAATATTTTTTATTTCTTATTACGAAGGATATATTTGTCAAGCAATCGGAAAATAGCTAGATATGTATTGGAAGCAGAAAGTGATAGGTTGTCGCCTGAGATAGTAAGACAATCTGGCGAAGGCGGCAACGACTTTTTTGCTGGAATTGCACACGAGATTTTTTCTACGATCGCTATTTTTTAAGAAAGGTATATTTAAAAAAATCATGAAAAAGGAGTTAGCAATAATATATAAATAATAAAACAAAGACAGCTTAATTAATATTCTAACTACATACCTACAAATTAATTTATTTTAAATAGCTATTCATAATTCACGAAAAAAGTTGTTAAGAATTGAAGCGACCAAATGGCATTATACACTGCGCTCCCTTCTTGATGATAAGTAAACGTAGTACTCATTTAAGAGCTAGTTGTGCACCATAGTCCAATGCCAAAACTTATAACCTCACTTTCTATGAAGTTACCGCCTTTTGCGGGCGTGGCTAACTTTTCATTTAGGTGCCAAGTTGTGTACACACGTCAAATCGAAAATGTTTTAAATTTTAATAAAATACAAAGAATACAAAGAAGATACTGGTTTTTTGATAGCATCAAACATCTAGAAAACTTTTATATGGAGGATGACGCTTAACTGGACATAATATTACTTTCTCTTTCGGTTCACATTACTTTACATGTGATTCCAGATAGTAATAACTGTAACAACTCAATGCGAGATTTATCATGAACCCAGTGTTTAACAAATCTAATGCAGATTAACTACAGTGAGACTATAAGATCCGGTGGGTGTCTCACATTTAGTGAGGAGATGCTAAAATCACTAACGTAAAGAAGATACTGGTTTTTTAATAGTTACTTACATCCAACCATTTGTGAATTTGCATTTTGTGGTTCTACTTTGAGTTTTCTTTTAAGGCTTGAATCAAAAAGAAGACCTCTAAAGGGCCATTGCTAAAGAAAAATATCCTTAAAAATTTGGGCAGTGGAGGAGTACTGATGGAGTTATTCAAAAAGAGGTAGTAGCCTCATGACTAAACATCTTGGGTTCAGGACTAGATACATTTACAAATCACGGCTTGTTTCCATATATTCTTAAATTGCCTTTTAATGGCGCCACCCAAAGTCAACCCAGAGGGTAAGGCAGCAAATACCAATACAGCTTTTACTTGATAAGATATTCATCTTAATTCTGAAACTAGAAGAAATCTTCTCAGATTATAATTTAAAAGTAACCTCATGGAAATAATAGGGGAGGCTAAGTTGAGACCAAAGCAAATCTGCTAAAGCTATGCCTAAGTTAATGGTACCACAAATACTATAAAATTCAAAAGTTTCCGCGGACAATAGAAGTACTCATCTCCAAAGGTACACCAAGAGAAACCTTACAAAAAGCTCCAGAGACAATAACCCAAACAGATCCATTCACACAACAGAGCTCGCCTTAAGTGAAAGCAAGTGTACTAGCAGGTGATCTAAGTAAACATTACAGACGATCTGTTTGTAAGGTCTTATACATTAAAGGCTACTCCTTATTTTTAATTTCTTGTCAGTACAAAATATAATAAATATCAAGATCTCAAGCAAAAGTATTTAAGATTCTTATTCAATGATATTTTTAGCAAAATTGTGAAGCCTGTGATATCCACTCTTAGAGATAATGGGTTGTTATCTATAGTATATACCTAGATGATTCTATACTATTGGAAAACTCTTTTGAATACTGTAAACAAAATACTAAAGATACTTCATCTAGTTTATCATTAGGGTTCATAATTAACAAGAAAAAGAGTGACTCTGTCCATCCTGCAGCCTTATTTTCTTAGCGTTTAATTTTAATTCGATGAAATAGGATGAAGATTTTAGGTTCGCTCAATTCTTTCAATTTCTGTTCACTTAAAGATGTTTCTAGACTAACGACTGAGTGGGAACTAGTTAATAAGGTATGTTTTATATAAGTGTATGGGATATGTCTCATGGAAGAAATACCCTTATCCCTCCATTATTACATTTACCTTAGATGGGTCAGATTATAACTTTTATGGTTTTTTGCCCTTTTTCTTTCAGTAATTCAGAAAATTATAAATAATTTCTAGTTTTACTTTTTTGCCATAAATGAACATGCCTCAGGCGTGGTAGTAGTACCCTTTTTGGACTACCAAACCTTGGACGGCACCTTTTTACTAGGGGTTTTGAGTTTAAAACTAATTAAATTCGACCCTGGTCCCTTACTTCTGTCGAGAGAACATCCTTTGGCAAGAAACGTTTCCCTAGGCTCCAATACTATTGAGATTATGCTGTCATCTATTTCAACTCTACCCTAAAAGAATATATGGTGGAGTTGAAACTTTGATGGAAGTTTTGTATGAGAGAGAAGACTCCTTCACAGGTGATCTGTAAGATCTTAAACTTCTGCAAGAACGGTTCCAGGAGGGTTTAACATATACGAGTCGTATAAGAAATTTAGGTCAGCACTTTTCTTAATTTGGTCATTGGACATTGCTCTGGACTTTACGGTCCAAGGTATGATTTAACTTAGAGCCCATTTACAGTACTAAATACCTTCAGGGATTGGTGTTTCAATAAAGAAATCCCTGTTATAGAATTATCAGAAAAATTAGTGATATTATTAGCATTATTTACTGCACATAGAATGCAAACCTTTAGTCTTAATGAATTAGAGTATATTATTTGTAGAACTGATAGGGTCAAGTCATCAGGTAGAAACAAATTACAACAGTCTTAGACCTTAAATCGTTGGGTAAAGTTCACAGGAGGCTGGACAAGTAAATCTTCTGTTTTGTCGTTTAATAACTGGCCTATAAGGCATGATACCACCTCTTTTGCAGAAATCATTCTAATTTAGTCTAGCGTGGATTAAACTTTCGTTTGTTTTTGATACACTTGTAAACATTTTCATAAAAGTTTATTGAAAATTGCCTCGTTTCTTGTAGTTGCAAGTGTCTTTAAACATCTACGTTTACTTATCACCTGAAGAAGGGAGCGCAGTATATAATTATAAGATCAAACGAACTTACCTTGAGTGAAGTTCGATCTTGATTATACACTGCAGTCCCTTCAAAGATGGTCTTCTCAACCCAACCTTCAGAATCTCAGATCATCGCAGTTACGACAGAGCTTTAAAAAAAAAGTGAGCCACTCCCGCAAAAGTATGGAGGGTAGAGGAAAGGAGAACAATCTCTGTATACAAAAAGTGTCCCTCAAAATGTATACAATTAAGGTGGCGCTTCTGTGCCCAGGGGACGTCGACAGTCGATAATTCAGATCACACAATGACACCAATGATGTATATAGTAATAAATATTGCTCAACCATAAAAAACTAAAAACTACACCGTGAAAAGTGACTGATCGTAGAAGAGTAAGTGTTCTGTAATCGTAGATAAATTTTGACAATACACGACAATAGTCAAATTTTATTGAAAAATAATAATATAAACAATAAATAATTCTTATATTAAAATGGCACGGAGGTCTCAATTTACTGCTTCCTGTCTGATTTAATTATGAATGAGCAATCTATATGACTATATAGCATTGGATTTTGTCCCCTGGCTACACGAGCGCCATCTTAATTGTATAAATTTTGGTGGCCACTTTTTAATATAAAGATCCATATAAGATTGTCCTCCTTTTCTCTACCCTCCATACGCAAAAGGCAAGAACTACATAGAAAGTGAGGTTATAAGTTTTGGCTTTGGACTATGATGCACAACTAGCTCATAAATGAGTACTTCTTTTACTTATCATCTTCGAAGGAAGCGCAGTGTATAATCAAGATCGAACCTAACTTAAGGTTGGTAAGTTCGTTTGATCTTTTAATTTCATTTGAATTATTGGATATAATGTGTTGCCTATTTTGGGATCTTTTTAATATTTCAAGTGAGATGGTTTAATTTGGGTTAACTTCTGCGTATATTATGAAAAAATGGAAGGCATTAATTTTATTTACATTTATTTGCAGTAAGTAGGATTCACACATTAACATGTTCACATACTGTTTGTTTAGAATTATGTATTGCATATAAATTACACCAATTTTGCAGTGCGAAAAATTCTCCTTTGAATAGTGATCGTAGAAAAAAAATTAACGTACTATCTGTTTTGAAATAAACAAAGTTTCTTTACAATTATACAAATAGAACCACATAAATTTATTTTTATGGTAAAAATATGTAATAATCCAGTACTTGACTTAGGAACATTTTACATCAAATTATTTATCATGAAATTATTTACCATCCAAATTAATTGTAATCGAATTATTTATCATCAAATTATTTATCATCAAATTATTGTCATCATATTATTTATCATAAAATTATTTATTATTCAGTTAATTATCATAAAATTATTTATCAAATTATGAATCATATAATTATTTAAAAAAGATAATAGAATTATTCCCAGACAACACACCAAATCCCAAAGATATCCACAGAATATCTTTTGTGGATATCCAATATATCCACAGGATATCAGAAATATTCCGTGGATCTAATATGGATATCCAAATGTCCGTCTATATCCAGAATATAGAAGATATCCTATGGATATTCAGCAAAATATCTAATTAGTATCTTTCAGACAATACAAGAAATCCCAGAGATATCCACAGAATATATTTTGTGGATATCCAATATCCAAATATGGATATCCAACCAAATGTCCGTCTATATCCCAGGATATAGAATTCAGATATTCAGAAAAATATTTTATAGGTATCTTTAGTAGACATTCATAAGTAACCAAATGAATGATAACGTCGAAAGAAAATAGAGATAAAAAATATTTCCAACAATCTGTCTTTGAGTTTGCCCACTAAGGAAAAAGTCATCCTTATTAGGACTCTTCAGCAATAAATGGAAATTCTCGACTCCAATCTCTAATAGAGTCTTAATGCGAAAAAATGTTCGATCAACTCAATTATGGCGGGTTGAGCATGAGTAGATACGAAAGTGGTATCGCCATCTATACTTAGGAAGCAAAATCAAAAATTACATCTAGTAGTTATCCACGATGGTTTGCGTCCGCGCTAAGACTTTGATATATGTGGATGTCCATGGGATATTGAATACACCTTAAAAAAATTAATTTTAAATATTTGAACGGTACTATTAGCCACAATGGCGAGCACAATGGCGTAATTTTTTAATAATTTGCTATATAATTACTATTATTTATGGACATTTGCATGTCTATAAATTACATTTTATGGATATAAAATAGATATCCACCATGGACTGGACATTCAGTGGATATTGGGATGTTCAGTAGATATCCAAAGGATTTGGTGTGCTGTCTGGGTTTATTATCAAATTATTTATCATCAAGTTGTTTATCAATAAATTATTTATTTTCAAATTATTTATTAACAAATTATTTATCATCAAACTATTTGTCATCAAATTATTTATTAACAATTTATTTATCAACAAATTATTTATTATCAAACTATTTATCATCAAATTATTTATAATCAAACTATTTATCATTAAACTATTTGTCATCAAATGTAACATTTAATTAACTCAGCCAATTTAATTTATATTAATGTTTGGATTAATTTTTAATTTAATTTCATTTAATTTTGAACTTTAAAAGGTGTATCTTAATCATCCTGAATCAGTTTAAGACTACGTTTTTATGATAAAATATTTATTATTGTTACAACTACTGTGAATGGCACTAAAATAATATTATATAAAGTTATCGATGTTTGATATTCTAAATCAATGTTAATTCATTATTTTAAATTAAAAAAATTGTAGAATTTGATTAATAAACTGTGTTAAGCATCAAATATGTATTATTTTTTATGTAAGCAAACGAAAGAATAATAAAAAAGTATACCTCAATATAAATGTTTTTTTATGCGTTTTCGAGAATTGATGAAACCAAAATAATGCCGTTATATTTATTATCAAGGGTAATATATTAGTTCCCAACAAAGATATTCCTAAGTTTGAAATTTTAAAACTATTTTGATATCTAAACTTTTACAAAAGTAATAAACATTATGATAAGGCTTCAGAATAGTACAAAATAAATAGCAGAAGATGAACGTATTGCTTTAATATTGGTGTTATACTATGATAAATAAAATGTATACAAAATAATTTTTTATTTTTCATATTTTTTTCCAAAATAAAAAAAAATTGGTTTTATCGGGAATTGAATAATAATTCAAATATAAGACATTAGCATTTTCTACAACGGATTTTATATATCTAAAGTTCTTCATAGCTCAAAGTATGATGGCAGAATACTCGACTAAAAAGAAATTCTGCGATTTAAACAGCTATTTTCCGTATAACACCAAAATGCGGATATGGTGCAGGGATAAAATACCACTGAAATTCATCTGTTGATATAAATTCTGTGTCACGTTTTCTATATTCTTTACTAAAAATTAAATTTTGAAGCTCTACAACATGATTGTGTGCTCTTACGAAGTTTGAGAATATCTTTTTCGGTTTCCGATGTCTGACTATAGGTACATCATTTTAGAAAACCGTCTATATTCAAATCCATTATTTATTTTGTTCTACAGGGTTAATCCTAACCGTGTATAGAAGTCGATAAAATAAATAACTGTTTTTAGAAACTCAATAATAAGAAAGATACAAAATTTAAAAAATCTAAATCCGAACCTGGGCTTATGTATGAAAAATTAAACTAAATGAGAAGTATGTTTATGTTTTTATCTATTTTACCTTTTTTTTCGGTTTTTCTTATAAATTACGCTTTATTGTGTACCGGTTATTATAATTCAGTCGCATGTGATTTCAGTAACGTGTTTATCTAAAGTAGTGAATTTAAATTGTTCAGTAAAGTAAATTATAACAACAGGGAACTTGTAGATGTGATGATTATGGCGATTGTCTTCAAGGTATAGTAGCTGCATTGCTATTGTACAGTACTCAACGTGAAGGACATGGAGAAAGACTGAATAGATATGACGTGCTTTTGTGTTGAAGTTATTGGTAACAACAATATTTAAGCTTTACAGGATTGTTTAAGATACATTTTGGAATATATTAATGTAAGCTTCTTGTTTTTGAGTTTTTTGAAAAGTGATATAAAAAAGTTTTTAATTATTTCTGTACACAGTTAATATAGCGACTTATCCCCATTACCCTCCGTATATGCGCCTCTCTACAGAGAAGTGAGTACTTCTATAATTTGAAAATATGTCTCCTGGTAGAAAATAGAATAGACTTACTAGAAGTGGCGGCTTGTGGTAATTTAAAATGGGTGTTCACTTTTTCCAATAATTTTATCATATGTAAGGTCGGATCAAAACTTTGTACAAGAGTCAATATCGCTGTTTTATTTTATTATTTGAATTTGTATTAAGTGTAGTTATTATTATCAACATCATACTGTTTTCAAGCACTACAATTATTAATAAATTAACATTTTACTTAGTGTGATATTTTTGTTTTTAATACGTTGAAAACCATCTATAAACATTATTAGTTAGTAAACTGTCTCAGTCTCAGTCTCATCACAATACATAATATTACACAGACACAAACTAGAATAAAGATATATAATGCCTGGCATTTTAAAAGATACTCTTCGCAGTTTAACAGACCCCCTTAACCCCCATTTTTAAGCAGATTGTTTTCACAATCAATAGGCCTCATCTTCTTATAGACCTTGATTTTTACTAAAAATTTCATGTTGATATCTAACAAAAGACACATCTTCATGAGTTAAGATCAATTATCGACGTACACAAAATCAACTAAAACTGCCATATAATATTTGCTTTAATAAGGAGATGGCACTTAAAAAAAAACTCAGATTCTAAACTTCTGCATACGTGATTGAGGTACGAGACGACGCCCACACTTCTCTAGCCTAGGACGAAGGATCGAGGCGAAGATTTTGGACGAAACAACATGTTTTTGTAGATGTAAATATTGTTGTACATAATTCTGTAAATAAATTCTTCATTCATTCATTCATGTTGATGTCGCTTTTCATTTTTGATTTTTTTTTTAATTTCAACCCCCCTTAAATCCCCCATATTTATTCAGATTTTTTTTATAATGAAAGGGCTTCTTCTCCTTTTAGAGATTGATGTTTGCTAAAAATTTCAAGTTTTTCAGTTAAGATTTTTTTTTATATTTTAACCATCCTTAACTCCCCAATATATTCATATTTTTTTCAGTATCAATAGGCTTTATCTTCTTATAAAGTTTCATTTTTACTAAAAATTTCATATTGATATTGCTTTTCGTTTTTAATTTAGGGTTTTTTTTAATTTCAACCCATCTTAACCCCCTATTTTTTAATCAGATTTGTTAAAAATCAATAGGCTTTGTCTCCTTATAGAGCTTGATTTTTGCTTAAAATTTTCAAGTTCATATCATTTCTCGTTTTTCACTTATCGTGCAGACAAAAAACGTGACATCGGACAGGCAGACAGACAAAGTAAATCTATAATACTCTTCACTGTATGAAGAGTAGAAAAAAATGTATAAGGTAAAATAAACAATTTAAAAAGTTCAACAATAATATTCAACTTTGTAACCTATTTTTTCTTTTGACAAAGAGTTTAGGTTATATACAGCACAGCAGCTCTGCGTCGGTGGCATAAAGTAAGAATTTGTTGTCTTGAAATTTAATTATTTTAAATTGACTTTAGATATACTTAAATAAAATACAAAAAAGAGTATTTAAACCATAGATGGACGCCACTGAATATTTTATAGATTAAAAAATTTGGTATTATTTGATAAGTTTTTAAAATCTAAAGGTAAATTCAGAAACCATAGTAAATAAAATTTAAATAATTAAACCATAAATACATGAATCTGTAAATAGACACTTGTAGAGATGATCATGATATTCTGAGAAATAAAAGTCATACATTTAAATTGAATTTAATAGAAAAATAAATGAAAGTGATATATTAACAATATTTTCTCAATTTGTTCGATGAGCATTAAATTATACAAACGTTCTTTGCTCAAAAGAGAAATAATGATATATTAACAATATTTACCCAATTCATTTGATGAATCAAACTCTAAAAGTACTAAACTTGGAAGTATTTTCTCAATCCACTCATCAACATTTAAATTTATAAACGGTAGAAACAATATAATTGAAAATACCTACTTAATTAATTTTTAAACAGTTAAATTTATAGTCAATAGAAATTGTGTAATTGAGAATATCCTCTTAATTCATTCGCCAATAGTTAGAGAAAT